AGGGTGAGGAGCTCGGTCATTCGGGAGATGTTCAGTGTAGAGCCGGTTCTCCTCCACATTGAGAGGAGTAAGTTGAGGTGGCTCGGACATCTTCTTCGGATGAACAGAAAATTTACTTTCTAGGAGATGTTCCAGGCACGTCCCACCGGGAGGAGGCCCAGGGGACGACCCAGGACACGCTGGAGAGACTATATATCTTGGCTGGCCTGGGAACGCCTAGGTGCTTCCCCCAACAGAGCTGGAGGAGGTGTCAGCGGAGAGGGAAGTCTGGGAGTCTCTGCTTAGTCTGCTGTCCCCGCGACCCGGTTCCGGATAAAGCGGGAGACGACAAGTACGAGAGAGTAAAGCTGTTTGGTTGTTCGTTGAGTTATTCCGCCCTGGGGTGCAAAAATCTTTGACCTTTTACTAACAGTAACTGTTATCGCAATCGTAGTGTTGCTGATCGACAGGTTGAGTCACAGAAGTTAAATTCCTTTAGGCAAACTCACCAAGAGAAGCTTGAGGTACCTTTGACCTGATCAGCCGAACATCAAAATTAATCAGATGGGGACGGTACATCCGTTCTTTTTCCAGGACCTGGTTTCTCTACAAGGCTTGGCTAACTGCATGCAGCGAGGCTAATGCTTTATTCTGCTTTTCCTGCATCCTTTTTCAAATGTAAGGATCTGACCCAGCAAAAAGACAGGTATGGTTGATTTTTCTTAGAAAAGGCAAAGGAGAATGAACAATCTGGGATTGACATGGAAAATAATAGAATGTAGTGTAGTTTTTTTAGATGTTTGTTAATTTGCATAGTTGCTTTTAAATAAACACATTCTCAGAAAATAAATAGTTTTTATATATGAAAAAATATAAAGCTGACTAATAGCTTCTCCATTATTAAACTGGTACATTATTTTTTTAGGTTTGACCACCATATTGGGCCATGCAAAACCCAGATTTGCCTTCACAAAGCCTAAGAAGGGCATAAGAAAATGTATGTACAAAAACTAAACCTGTATATGAATTTATGTTTTGTTTTGATAAAGTGTCTTTGGAATGTACGTATACTGGTGTGATAACATGGTATACCTTTGATTGTTTTTTGGTATATATCTATTTTGAATTTAAATCCACCAGCTGCCACTGGCCATAGGGATTTTCTGACATCTCTATTTAAATGGCAAAATTGCCATTTAAATAGGGATGTCAGAATCCAGTTCTCCAGGCTCCTGCAGCTTTTATATGACTCTTAGCTTTATCACACCGGAATCAATCAATCAATCAACAGAGGAGATAATAAAGCCTGTTGATTCAGGTGATTTGGATCAGGAAGAGGCCTAAGAGTTGCAGGATACCAGCCCTCGAGGACATGAGTTGGAGCAAAGAAACTACAGTGTTTAGGTGAACTTGAAACATTCTAATAATTAAAATGTAAATCCCTTTATTTTCCCACGATGGGGAAATTCACTCTTTGAATTTTACCCATCCCCTTAGGGAGCAGTGGGCTGCCATTGTGCGGCGCCCGGGGAGCAGTGTGGGGTTAAGGGTCTTGCTCAGGGACCCAGAGTGGCAGTCTGTGGGGATCAAACTGGGTAGTTTCAGCCATGTCAGAGCACAAGTTGACAATCCTAATTTAAAAAAAAAAACACATATTGTAGGTCAATTTCAAACACTGTTTCCTTATTGTAATTAAAGGCCTGGCAGTATCTTTAGCTGCGTAGCGAGTCAACTTTCCACAAATTGGCTCAATTTGAAATGCTAAGATGACTTTAAAAAAATACAAAAAAAAAACAACTATCTTGTTTAGAACATGCATTGACAAAACAGAAGGTTTTGTTTGAGCAAAACGGTATTAATAAATAGTTCACACATTGAAAATTGTGCTGTTCCTTAAATGCCCTTCATACCTAAATTTAAACTAGTTATAGAGGCAATGTTGGCATGAATAACTTTTGTTGATTTACAACAAAAACACAAATGATACATTTTTTGATGGGTATAAATTCAGGCATTAAGCTGTTTTTTGTCTTTTTTTTGACAATAAAATTGTGGAATGACGACACTCACAGGTAAAACTTTAACAATTAGGCACATTTGTCTACCTTGATGATTTGCAAAACATCTCAAACCCTGTTTTGTAGATCAACAAGGACACATTCTTTGTTATTCTTACTTTGGTTTGGGCAGTGGTTCTGGTTCCTTCCGTGCTTTTCCAACAGGATTCTTCTCAGCCTCTTCAGCCGTCACAAGATGGAACTCTGCCTCCACCTTCCCCTGCAGGATTTCCAATGAAATGCTTTAAGGTTCGGGTTAGGTGTGCAGTGGTAATGCTTGGCATAGAAATGGATAAAAATCCATGGAAATCTATGAAGGTAAACACGCAGTCCTCACAACATATTACAAGACAAGAATGAGTGTGTTTGTGCAGGTACCGTGAGCTCTCCAGACTTGCTGAAAGGCCACCAGCCTCGAGCTCTCTTCTGCTGGAAGATGGAGATTCTGTCTGTCACCTCCGTCAGCATGTCAGCTTTACACGACTTGGCTGTTTTCGCTCCACGGGGAAATCCGTGGAGGTTCAGCTCCAGCGTACCTAAACACCCACAGTCAAACACATAAAACCAAAACACACACAGATGGAGAAGTGGTCCTACACACCCACCTAGGAAGTCATCTGAGGAGAGCGTCTCAAAGTCCCAGACCTGCAGGATGAGGATGGCTGGAAGCTTCTGTTCTGTTTTATCCAGGGAGAAAATGTGCTCTCTCTTCTTCACCACCACAACCTGAGGAACAAGGAAAGTACAGCTGACATTAGTGTTTGATTCTTGTTCATTTAATCTCACAACTGTAGATAAAACAGCACAATCTATTCTGCCTGTACCTTTTCAGCAGGCAGGTAGCTAAAGGGGAATACGAAGCGCCAGTTGAAGTTTCCTTCTCCGGTCAGAGAGTTGTAGTGGACGTCAGTTTCCTGTCGGTCATCTTCTAAACCTTTCAGCCAACTTTAAATAAAGAGAGAACAGCAGCAGAGCTCACTTCACTAGTTCTAATAGGAAACCAACACAACTTGTACTAAGTGAGTAAAACTGATAAAGAACCAGACAATAAGTAGTACAATACTCTGCATTTGGAATTTACTCAAATGTGGTAAAGTTACTGATGTATTTTGTTAAGATTTAGTGTAATAAAAATGTTTTTAAAAAAGATAAAGAAAAAGGAGACCTATGGTCCCTACTCTTGAAAAATGCTGGTGAAGATTCCCAGTCATCCAGGTCATAGTCATTCCAAAAAAAAATTCAAAAACAATCCACTGGACTTTGTTTCAAAGTTTGAAGACATTTCGCTTCCCATCCAAGAAGCTGTCATAAAGAGCGTTGAGTTTAATGCTCTATGCGGCAGCCCAACAAAGCCTGCTTTTTACTTGGAAAACATGCAAATTGAAACAGACGAAGGGGTCCACCCCTTTGGAATGGGGGTCGTTTAGCTTCTTTTGTTGACCTACAATGCCCAATACCTGTCTATGTCTCTGAAGGGGGTGTCATTAAAGGGAATTGTTGGCCTGAAAACTATGCTGTGTTTGTATGTAGCCCAGTTACTCCGATACAGCTACATAACATCCAGTGCAGTACTTTTAGAAATGTAAAATACAATAATAATCCATGACCATCTCGTACATAATCTTACTTGCATAGATTAACATTACATACATGACAATCAGGACAACTGAAAAAATCCTGTTGAGTTCTGCAAAAGACTCAAAGAATCACCTTCCAGTATGACAATGACTGCAAACGTATAGCCAGAGCTACAATAGAAACTTAAAGGACAGCCGTCATGTCTTAGAACGGCCCAGACCAAATAACAGTCTGAGGACCAATGAGAGTTTTTGGCTGGACTTAAAGATTCATTTGTACATGCACCTTCCTTCCTGCCACTACTTTGTCTGTTTTCATACAGATCCAGATTACTACATTTGTAGTTTGTGATTGTAAAAAAACATTTTTAGCTAAATTTTAAGTGTCTATATCAAGCAAAATCCACTTCTTTAAGCTTTTTAATGTCATAGTAACTCAGTGAGGGTGAGATTTATTATATCAAAATCATCTCCAGCATGGTATATTGCTTAATTCATGCCTGTCTAAGTGGTCTTCCTGAATTCTGCTCTTTCAGCAGCACTTCCTAGGTGACGTGTAAAAATGAGTGGCGTTCACTGTTTTCTGCAGAGCAGGTATTATCCTCCAAGAAGCACCTACCTTGTTAACACTGCGCCTGCCCAGTAAACAACACACCTAATTTCTCCTATCAGTGAGCAGTGGTTTGAGACAGAGTGGCATCATTTCTGCTCATGCTTGAGACAAAGTGACTCTTTTTGCATCTCATCTGTACAGTGACATCAATTAATTATTTTTTTTATATTTTTGGCTGCTGGAGATCTTAGACTTTGTTCAGCCTTTCTATCAAAGGGCCTAATTGGCAGTAATGGCCTGACATTAGGCTGCATTGGCTCTAAGTCAACACCATGAAATGTACAGCATAAATTTATTTGTACCCTTTGATATAGATGTCACTGGACTGTTGACCGGTCAGGAAGTTTGAGTCTTCCAGGATCACATCTTCTGTGTTCCAGATGATGATGCGCAGCTCATACCTGGAAACAGATGTTTAGGTTATTGTTGCTTCCCCTAACAAACCGAGACAGACGTCAGGTAATAGGAGACAAAGTTCACCCTTTGGGTTTTCTGGGTGAAATATCCACTGGGGGTCCTGGATGAGGTAAATCCATTGGAAACATATCCACCCACATCTGGACCTGACCCTGCACACAAACACAAAAAAAGGGAGTTTTGTTTTTAGGACCTAAGACATCATAATGGAGCGCACTCATTACAAACAAAACAATTCATTTGGAAGAAGTAAAGCTCATTTTATCTCTTTCTTCATCGGTTAGTGGTTGTTGTTATTTAACAGTGAAATCCTAATTTTGCTACTTTCAGTTCAGTCCACTTAAAAAAAATACTTTAGTCAGACATTTTGTACAAAATAAAATTATTTTGATATAACAATGTGGATTGAAATGGTAGCTTGATAACATGTTTAGAGAAATAACTACAAATTCCTCCTGTTTTTGGTTTATGTTTCTGTCAGGTTTGAATATTTCAATTCATTAATCAAATAAAATTACAGACTACAATAAACTGAGTAAAGGAGTAAAGGATTTTATCTCTTAAAGAAGAAAATGTATTTACCAACCTGCTACTATTATAAAAAGCAGATTTCTTATTTTCTTTGTTTTTATCATTTGGCAGCAACAGCAACCATGATTTATTTTCTCACTGCGGTGAAATACTTTCATTTGCTGAATATTTCAAATTCTGCAGTATTTCTATAGCCATAGAGAGGTGGACTGGGCAGTGTACATTGGATCATCGCCTGCTCTGCAACCTAAGGGTGCTTTACCTTAAAACCCTTAACTGAGATTCCACTTTATGATTTTCTGCTAGAGAGGAAAATATTTGACTTAATAGTTAATTTCAAGTTGTGCAGGTTTAGACAGAGCAAGGCTGCCTCAGACCATCAGGCTAACGCCATCGTCTGACTGTTGCTATAATGCTCTTTTCTAAAGTTCTCTGTTAGTTCTACAGTAGATGGAAAATGAAAAACACCTTCAAATCTTTTCCTCTAACTTGTCAGTCCACCAAATATTTTCCCAAAATGTCCTTGGGCTTATCAAGATTAAATTTTATTAACAACACCTGAACCTCCAGCTCAATTATGTTAAGAAAACAGCAGGAGGTCCTGAAAGGGACGTGTTTTTGGGCAACAGGATCCTTAAAACCATGGGTTCACTCACACTCCATCATCCATGCTGTTTTTCCTCTCTCTGGCATATAAAAGCCATTTCAGTCAATACAGTTTAGTAGTTGGTATTGGTATGGGACTGATGTTTCAGTTTCAAATTCACGCTTCTCCTGCTGTGGTCTTGTAAAAGAGGCAACGGGCAACATTACAGACCTGTTGTCAGTGTACCAACCACCCAGACCAGGTCAGAAGTCTAATGGGAGTCAAACTTAATGATTTAGAAACATTGGTTTTTATGTTGACTCTATATTTACTTTTATCTGATCTTGCCAAAATATGAGGTTTGGCTAACCCCGTGTCTGTTTTTTTGACAGATGCATAAAATATCTCAACATCAAAAGTCCATATGAGTCAGCAAGGAATTCAGGAATGCAAAGAGATTCAGGAATGACAGATTTGATACGTTTCAAACTAAGATGGGGTGCTGCTGTCCGCATCAATGAATGGATCCTAAATGTATCCATGGTGCTTTCCTGCACAGTGTGAATAGTGTGATCACTGGGTAAGACTTATATCGTGAATTATGTCACAACAGCAGATCAGTGATAATTGAAGACTGATAGGTTAGCTTTCATATTCAAGGCCAGATGTTTTCCACACCACTGGAACCATCTACTGGGTCAGGCTAAGAGGTACTGGAGAATCTGAGAGGGCTGGTAGGTGAGGGCCTTCAGTTCTGGCTGATCTCACCTAGACCTGCTGCCTTGTACTGGTCCGAAATGTCCATTTCTCCAGTTATAACTAAAATTATTAATATTCTTACCTTTAAAAAAAAAAAATCAATCTAGTTGTAAAGATCCTCAAATAAACTGTTATTCTGAGTATATTTGAGAAATATTTTCCAGTCAGCCAGTAATGGTAATGCTGTTGCTTTCTGTTTGACTAATGTTTCAGTGTTTGACGTCTGCATAGCTCTGAGTATAGAACCAAAATAACTATGATTGGCAGCTGCAGCATGTCTCCATTTGATCTGGATAGTGTTCAGTATTTTGTAAAATCCCATGATACATGAAATACATTTTAGGAAACAGATCATCTCAGGTGAAATTCTTTGTTTCCCTAATTTTAAAAGAGTAATAAATGAATTTATTACATTCCAAACTGACTCCTATAATATGCAATATTGGTGCTTTTCAAACAAGATGACTGCAGTCGAACTTCAATATTTTCTTTTTCCTTTTTTTATTGCCTTTTGTTCATTACTTTAACAAACAGATGTTTTGCTGAGACATTCAGAAGTTAACAACATTCTTCATGTCAAATGTTGTTTGGTTTAAGGGATTAGAATAGTTTTGCAAAAGTAAATGGTAAATGTTGTTTTCTCAAGTCAGGAGACTTGACCAAAGCTCTTTAAACTACATTCAGTCATTCAAACATTAACACACACACTGATTATGGGAAACTACATTGTAGCCACAGCTGCCCTGGCGCTCACTGACAGACGCGAGGCTGCTGGACACTGGCGCCACCATCTCTGACCACCATCAGTAGACAATGCAGGTGAAATATCTTGTCCAAGGACACGTCACTGAAAGCCAGAGCTAGGGCTTGAACCGACAACCCTCCTATTGCAGGGCAAACTCCTGTTAAGTGTTTGCCAAGTATATATAAAATGTTCACATTTTTGCACATTATATCTGCACAACTCTGCATTTTTAGGGGAATTTATGATAAAGACCAAAACAGGGATAAATATCTATGAAGTGGAAAGAGGAGATTTGACTCTCTAAACACAGTGAAATCTTCAGGTGCTGGGAAGTGATAAATACCTGATCCATTCCAGGCCGTGCCTTGTTGTAAAGAGTTCTTGTCTCAATGTGTTCTGGTACTAGTTTGCATCCCACAGCTGGGATCTCAGCCCAGCGGTGCAGGACTTTGAGGGACAGGTGCTCATAGGACTCCACCGGCTCATCTAAGACATGCACAAACACAAACAACACATAGATATGAATAGTAAATATAATAGTATGAGAAAAGACTTTTGCAACATATCGGTAAAGGATTCACTAATACATCCCAGTAACTAAAATTCTAAACACCCCAATTTCAGAAGGTGTATAAGATCACAAAGTATAAAAACAGTGACGCATGTAGACTGTTGCTATAAACAACTGTTAAAGAATTGCTTGACCTCAGGTGCTCAGTAAATTCCTGCATGGTAATGCAATGACTGTGAATTAAAGTCGGTCAAAAAATATTTCATTGCTACTTATTACAGTCAAAAGTGTTTTGAGTTGCTATAAGTGAAAGTAATTAAAACAAATGATCAAATAATAATTGGTAGACCATGTTACAGCTCAGGAAAAGATCAAGAAATGCTGAATGTATGCTGTACAGATGTCACATTTCTGCAGATTATTATAAGATTTAGATTATCATTAATCATATTGAAAGAGCTTTGTCACCTAGGTTTCCATGATGAGGAAATAGATGTAAGTGGGTCATTCCATAAAAACTGTTAAGTTTGGGTCCACAACATTTAAAGAGGAATAGGAAGCATAATAAATCTGTCAGTAATACAGTATCTTTGTACTGTGTCAGTAATAAGTGTCTAAAGGCATTGATTCAAGTTTAGTTGGTAGCATGTGGTCAAAAAAATTTAATAATAAATTTTGCACATTTATAACTTTTTATGTTAAACTGCAATCATTCTCTCGTGTCTGCTGTGACCATTTTTCTCATTTGTGTAATGTAAAACTTAAGAAATATGAAATAAATCTCAAAAGTGTTTTGTTGTTATGGTTAGAAATACTTTCCTCTTAATAGGAAATGTGTTAATTATATTAAAATGTCATATTTTTTTTTATTGAAATAGCATGATTTTTCTATGTCCATCAATTTCATATTCCACCCCGTCACACCAATGTTATTTTGCACCAAAACGCAATACACTTTCTAGAAGTGACATCACTAACATGAAGTGACATCATTCAAGAGTTTGAAGAAGAGAAGTCCAAACATGGAAGAACATTTTTGGTACATTTTTCCTTCAAAATCCTTTCTGTTAACCATAGCATATCCACCCTGTCACACACAAGTGGGGAAAACAATTTGTTAATCAAATTTTGAAATTATATTTGTATTAATCATTCATTTTTCATTGTACTTCAATGCTGACAGCACCATCAGGTTTTAACATGTCCAGAAATTGAGCCATATTGCTTTAGATTTTCCACCCCGTCACAGGCTTTGGTGTGACGGGTTGGAATCATTGTCATAGGTGGCAACTTTCTTCATTTTCAATTAATGCTGTACATCACATAAAAACATTAAAAAACAAAAACACTTTGAACACACTATTGGTTTTTTTGAAAAAAAAAAAAAAAGACACTTTCTGAAGTGAATAGCATTTTGTTTGTCTTTCTTTTATCCAAAATTACCCTTTAATTTGTTAACCTTTTTCCTGTGACAGGGTGGAAAAGGAAACTCTGTTCCCTGGATATAATGTGCTAAAATATTTGCAGAAAATGGTGTTTGAGCTTGAAAAATATGTTTTATTGCAAGTGTTACATGTTCTATAGGCTATGAAACAAAAAAAAAGAAAAAAAGGTTATGATCAAAGACCTCTAAATTCAGATGTCCTATCTTTACACTTTCCATGGAATGATCCAGGTGCAATCCAAAAAGTTGGAATCAGTGGTGAAACACATCACTGACATAGAGGTGGGAGCTTAATGTTGAAAAACTTTGGTAATATAGTATAAAATGAAAAGCTGGTAAATGTGTGCAAGCAAATATATTTATTACAATCACAGATTAATGAAAATACACCCGAAAATGGTTGGCTATCAAATATAACTGTAAGTGAACACAACTAATCAGAAAACTCTTGCGATTGTCCATTTACACTCTTTGATAATTCATTTTAAAGCTTATAGTTGAAGCGGCTAAGGTTACCCTGAGTGACCTATACGGATATTAAGCTATAGGCTTTAGCTGCTGGAGCACACAGGGACTACTTTCCCTTTCTTTGATGTATTATACTTCTATTCTCAAATGTTGCATAAATTGTTGGATAAACTTTTAACAAAAAAAGGTAGAAAGGTGCAAATGAAGGAGATACCCATCTTGGTTCCCAGTCATCTTGATCATGATAGATATTAGATAAGTATTTAAGGAGAAGGCGAGTGGACTCTTTGCTGAAGGCCCTCCATCCAGTCTTGAACCCTTGTTGTCTTCAATAATGGCAACACTTGCCAATACTTGTCAAAATGTAATTTGTCTCTCTACATGATTCAACAGCTATTTTCACCCTGAGATGTGACCAAAACAAATCCCACACTGACTTCATTAGGAGGCACTCCAATAGTGTGTTATGGCAGTTCTTGTGAGTGAGGTACATGACCATATTACTGTGATCACTTTAACCATTCTATCACTATTCTCCTATTCTCTAGTATTTGGTAGTTTGTCCTCTAACTCCTCTCTCTGATTTTTCACGTAATTCTGCCTGTTCCTGTTTGGCTGTGACAATATCCTGGAGGGAAATATCAGTGGGACTGCGGCCATTAACACCTCTGATGATAAACTATCTGCTTCTCTCCTAGACATAGCTTTGTGCTCAGCTTTTACTGTGATTACCTGTTTGTGCTTTCTTTTAAGATGAAAACTGGCTAAGAGCTGATCTGCTTCACTGTTTCTTGCATAGACAGGGCCCTTTATAAAACTATTATTAACATGATCTTCCCTAACATACAAAGTGTTCATGAATCAGTGTTTCTATGTTCCTTATGTATCTCTGCCTTTGTCTACTGGAACCTCAGTCGGCCTCGGCAGGTGGCCGCTCTCACTGAGCCTGGTTCTACTGGATGCATCCTCCTGTTAAAAGGAAATTTTCTCTCTCCACTGTCACTGCATGGATGATCTGTGTGAGGAATTGCTGCAGAGTCAAAAACACAAGGCAAGGAGTATCTACTGCAGATTCATGACTCAATGTAATCAGCTGGGTTTCTTTAGATAGTAAACCTTTAACCAATCTGTCTATGATTGGATCGGTTGACTCTGTAAAGTGCCTTGAGATTACTTGTGTTGTAAATTGTCGTGTTATAATTTATATTCTATATTCTCAATCGTCTCGTACACAAAAAAATCCCTCAAAAAAGATGTTGAACATGTTTGAGTCTTTCTTACCTTCATCCATGTAGATTGTTTTGCCTGTGAAGATTTTGTCAGCCACGGTGATGCGTCCTGGTCTAAAATGAGGACCATCCACACCATATTCTCTGCACATTTTTGACAGCAGCTCCGATGGTTTTAGAGAGTCTCTCCAGGCATTATAACCCCCTCTGTGGTTAGAAATAAGGTTTGTTTTAGCAAGATTTAATTCTTTTCAAAATTACCATTATGGTTCATCAGGATTTATGTAATACATCAGCACAAAATATTTCTTCAGAATACATTTTGTGTAATTTTTTAGTGGTAAGGTTTCATATTCAGTCTCTTTAATTTAACACTTTCTGAAAGCACCCTATGGCTTCTCCTTATTCACACCTAAAAGTCTTTTTGGGAATTGTCTCTACCAGATTTGTAGATCTATTTTTTATTTTAATAATTGTCCATTCTTTGCAAAAAGTAGGCTGATACTTGAAGCATCCCCCTGGCAAATTAATTTGCTTTCATCTAAAGCACATAACTTTACCCTAGATTTATGTTAAGGGTTAATTTTGTGCTGATATGTGAATTTTTACTGAAATCTAATTCTTCCTCCCTTTCTCTAGGATCCCCATATCTATATCAATTTATCTACTGTTGTCAGAAAATTTTTATCTCTCTTCTATTATATATTAATTTATCCTATTTACTCATAAAAATTTTCACTCAGTCTGTTTCTGTCTCAAGGCCACACATTTCTCTCCAGGATGGTGTTTGTAGACCAGACATATCTTCTTCCCATAACAAACCAGACTCTTTCTCAAGGTTTGTTCATAACATGTTACTGTTAACCAAAGTGTTGTAATTTGTTTTGACTCTGACTACTTTCCATTGTTGTAAGAAAGGGGGAATGAACGCTGTCCAGATCAGAACAGGGCAGGATGCTGTGCCATGAGGGCTTCATGATGATCTGTTCTCTCTTTGCAAACATATGAATAAATGTGCCGACTGAGTGAAATTCATCGATCTCCGTTTATTTAACATGGATGAATAGTTGAATACTTTTTCCCCACGACACTACCTATCATCTTTGAAAAGCTTCCCTTTTCTCAGTGAAGTAAAACATCCCCAGAGCATGATGCATCCTTATTGCTGATGCTGGTTCAGGATAATGGGTAGTCAGTTTTTCACCACAAAAAAAAAAAAAAAAATCAAAAATCTGTTTCAGTCTGATCTGGTGGGTCCCCTAAATGGCTTGTTGTGGACTATAAATAGGACTTCCGATAACCTTGTTACCTTTTTCCTATTTTTGGCCTTGTGTTTCATGTACACTTTATTATTCCTATTTGCATTACCATTGTATGCAAATTTCTCTATTGTGAGACAATAAAACGTATTTCTGTTCTGTTCTATTCTATTGGATTTGTTGCACTGACCTGCTAATTGGTGGCACCCCAGGGCGGGGCTATTGCTGTGTGCACACCTGAAGTGCTTTGCCTGACAGACAGTGATGTAGGGATAAATTACATCTAGGAAGGCAGCTGCTAATCTTGCAAGTTGTGTGAGAGATTAATGCTGCAAACTAACTGCAGAGAACTGAGAACCCACTGTCAAAAAACTGAAGAGAAATCTGACTGCTATCTAGGATCTTACTGCTGCTGCTGTGTTTGATTTAGTGCCATGTGATTTCTTCCTCTGTTACTTTGTACACCTCAATTTGAAAATAGCTGCAGTGATGTAAATAATTTTTGGGATATGTGCATTTATGTTGTGCGTTATGAGGTTATATTGTATGGTATTTATGGCTAAATGCCTGTGCAAGGTGCAATATTGTGGTAAAACTCTGTCATGTATATAAGAGGATTAGACTAGTTTAATTATTCTGAAGCCATTTATTGGTTATGTATTTCCTTAATCTTGTGTTCACTAACCATCCTGTCTTTCCTAAGGTTTTTACCTGACAGTTGTTAAGACTGACCACAAAAGAGGGAAATATAAATAAAAAAGAATGGAAAAAGTCTCTACTGCTCTGTCTGAGTAGATCCAGTAATGATGTGGGTCCACCCCTTTAAAGTATGGGGTACAGTTAATGAGACACTTGACAGTATTCTATTCCGATTAAAAGCTTTCTTGTGTTTTCCTACTGTACAATATTAAGTACATATTTTCTTCAACCTTAAATCAATCTTTTGATTTACCAGCCAGGAAAACACTTGAACTTACAGGCTGTACTCAGTGGGGAGTCCACATGTGGCTCTGTGTTTGCTGTAGAATCGGTTCTCCAGATCAATGCGAGTCTCTCCAATCAGGTCATCACCTCCTACCAGGTCATAGTCGTAAATCAGCACCGACAGCAGTGACTCCTGAGGAAATGTGGCCTGCATCTCAAAAGATCTGAAAGAGAGATCAGTCAAAACACAAGTCTAATGGAACATGTTCAGATATACAATAGATGAATTATTTACCTTCCAAAAACAGGGTTTAGCTGTTTGGGAATGTAATTATCTCTGTCTTTGATTTCATTTTTCCCAAGGCGAAGTAAAATATAAGGGTCAGCCTTCCCATCTGGATCCGCTGGATGCAGGTTGGACGCCTGGGAAGAATACGGGGATTTAAAAGCAGTACGCAACCGCTTGTCATTTTAAAACAACCATCAGGACAGGGATGAACTCACTGAGACGACGTAAACCCGGATGAGAACTTGTACAGAAATGTTCTGAGGGATTCCTCTGTTCACCCTGAAGTGGCCTAAGTCGATGAAATCCTCTTCATCCTCTGCTTCATCATCACTTATCTTATAGAGGCAGAATCGACCCTAATGGAGCAGAATAAAGACACAGGTTAAGGCATGTCGAGAAAATCAAAAAATACAGCAGAGCCTGCAGATGGAACTCACCTTAAACTTCCCAACGAACCTCTCATCAGATGTTCCCTCCTCCTCGTTGGCCTTACCCCTGAACAGTTCATATGTGCTGACCCAATCATCAAACGCACCAAACTCTGCCTCCAGCTCTTTATTGTATAGCTGCACAGATCAGATCTCCATCAGTCACAGTAAGAATAATAAAGTTTAAAGTTTTTGTGTTTTAGAAAATGAAATATTTAAATAAAACAACCTCTGTAAATCCTTAACCCTATAATGCCAAATGTATCGTATTTGATACATACGTTTTCTGAAATGTTTTGCGTCTGACACCTTTTGCATAATTTA